CAGCTCTAGTTTGGATTCACACATCTTTTTCCCCTTTTCCTCCTCTTGGTTCGTCTCCATCCCTTCCTCATTCCAACCTTCTTAAAAAACACCCCCCTCCCCAGCTGCCCGTCTACTGCACTGCACAGGCACAAACACCGTCCCCTTTCTCGGCGCGGCCGCAACTTGACCACAAGAGAAGCACAAGTTTCGCCAAACCACTCCCTCCCGCGAAAGGCCGTGTCTGCCTTTGCAAGGGCAGGACTGAAAAGCGCCAGGCCTTGGGTCTTGGCCTCCATCGGATGAACGATTTCCCGTCGAAGGTTACTCACTTCCTGTTTTCCGTATTTAGACAATCTGGGCCTATAGGGAGGCTTTGATTTGTCGTAAACTTCAGCTGGTTTAAACGTTAAGTCGCGGGAGCGCGAGGCGGGGGGGGAGGAGGGGAAAGGCCTGGAGATAAATTAGCTCCTGTTTAATACTGCGCCTATGTTGGTTCGCCGTTTTCTACTGACCATTAGAGCATGTGAAAGGAAGGTCAGGGGGCTGACAGCATGGGAGATAGAGAAAGGGCTGCTTCACAGCGGGCTGGGCCTGAAATCAGTGCGTGCGTGTGTGAGGTTGTGCGTGTGTGTAGCAGTTGGGAGCAGCCGGGCGATACACTCCAATGACTAATTTCTCCAATGTGTCATTTTTGCCACAGCCAGCTGTACGGAGAGGCTAACGGCAGTGCAACAGCTCTGCAGCGAAGGCGGGGAGGAGCCTCTGAGCCGGAGAGGAGAGTGCTTTGCCCTTTGCCGGTGCCTATCAGTGCATGCCATACACCGACGTCTGTCCCAGCTTGCCCAGAAGTCTGCTAGGCTGGAGCAAGTCAGCACTCGCGCGTAGCTGAGAGGGCAGGTCATGTCTTCTTTACGCCTGTTTTGCAAAGGGGAAACTAAGGCAGAGAGTGCCGTGACTTTGCTTGCAGTCAGAAAGTGAACGCGGGAAGGACTGGGATAAGTCCTAACACTAGTGAGACAGTGGTCTTTCTCCTGAGATGTGTTTTGTCATGAAAAACATCTTCCCTGTGCTGGCGGGATTTATGTTGGGATAGAGAAAAATAGCGCACAGCCACAATAGACAGGAGTGCTTGTGGGTGCAGGGTTTACGTGAATGGTTTTGGTCTGCTCTTTTCTGTTCATCTAGCTCTCGTCCAAAAGATTGACTTTCAAAACGGAGTGGTTTTACTTTCAATCTTTATGAAGGCCGATGAAAAAAGATTAGAGGACGGACTGAAGCGCAGTGGGAGATGGTAAACAAATTTGATTTTTACAGCGAAATCCTATAGGGATTTCCAGGGACACCCTGAAATCACTTCCAGCAGAACAGCCTGCTGGAAAAGGGAGCAAAATGCCACCATGGGCAGATGGAAGATGAATGAAAGGGCCAGAGATAAAGAGCCACAACGAAAACAGCAATCTAATGCTTTTCTCCAGCTCTCGTATCCCAGGGAAAGGAATCGGCTGTGGCCTCTCTGCCTGATGCAGAGCAGGCAGGAGCAGACTCAAAATCCAGAGGAAAATTAAAGCAGAGGGGAAGACTTTGAAGTGTTCAGCAGAAACAAGAGTCCACATGCACCCCCTGGCATTGATAGACCCAAATCCGAATGGTTTGAACCTGTTCTTGACCCTCCTGAGCCAGAGTTAACTTTCCTCCAGTTAGCTGGCTGCAGCCTAGCGTGCAGAACCATACAGAAAAATAGGCAGGTAGCTCTTTTCTCCCTGGCATTGCTGCGTAGGCTGGGTTAACATTATACTACCCTGATTCAGTTTTTATAGACCAAACAGTAGCAGTTCCCTCCCTCAGTGGTATGTAGAGGCCTTTCCCTGAAGGAGGGGTTAGTTCTCCATTGTGTTACTACCTGCTGACTGCTTTTTCTGCTGTATCTCCTACCCCCGGCTTTGTTTTGCCCAGCAGAGTTTTTGGTGCTCAGAAATGCAACGTAGTTCTTACTGCATAGGCGACGTAATTCTTACTGCGTTGTTTTCCATGAGTTTCCACTGATGGGGACCTAGACCTCCCCGCTGCCCCTCTGTGCAGTCAGAGTGCCAGGTTTAGGGCCGGCTCCGGATCTGTCAGGGACACAGCAGACTGACTCAGGATCGACTGCAAAGCCGACGCCAAGGGGAATTGCACCCAAAGCTGTTCAAGCAAATGGTGTTTCTGAATCAGCACCAGCCGGCTGCCCTGATGCTGAGGGTTTGATCTGTTAGATCCAGAGCAGCCTGGTTTGCACTCATATCACCATGCTTAAAGAACAGTCACTTAATCTCACTTAGAAATGTTTACTTGTGAGGACCAGATGGCCCAGGGAGTTGGGCTAAACAAAGCGTTTTACTTCTAGGTCATGCCTTCTAATCCCGGCCAGGTTGGTGATAGATGAACATATTCACCTGATAGCCACTTTCGGCTTCATTTTTGGTGGTGTTCAGGCTGGTTTCCAGAGAGAGATGGCACACCACCAATCTCCCCGTGTCCTGCCCCACTTGGTACTGATTTGACTGTCTCTGTGGAGAAGGCAAGGATCAAATGCTCCGTGGCGCCAGACTGTTTTCTTTCCCAGCCTGCAGGTAAGGGGAAGTTGTCCTGCGTCTGGCGGTGTCATGCCTGCTCTGCAGATGGGCAGCATTTCATTTTGCAAGGCTGCCAGCCCAACTCCTTCCCCCAACGTGAAAGCCATTAAAAAAGAATTGGGAAATGTTTAATTGCGATTGACATATAGGCTCTCTCCACTATGAACTTTACACGCAATCACAGATAACGGCATCAAAATTAATGCCTGCTTCCCACTTGTCCTGCTATAAGCAATAAACGTTTGGCAAGTCAGTAAATAACAAAATTCTCATGTGGCCATCTACAGGTCACCAGGATACTTAAGAAGTTTGCGTTAATTATACCATGTTTGCCATCAAAGAGGGGATATTAACCCTTTTGAGCTGTTGCAGGAAAGCAACGGAGTCATTTGGGAGTAAGTAAACGAAATGTTGTCTCTGAAAGTGCAATCTTTGCAAATCAAAAAAGAAAAGATGTTTCAGGCAAAAACCTCGCTAGACATCATGGAAAATAGGCTACCTTTTCAGCTTTCCTTTTATTTATTTTGTATTTTGACATCAAACACTCCCTGTAACCTAATCTTCTTGGCTTTTGATGTGGCCGTGGAGACATGACAATTAAGCACGGCTTAAAACAATAATCCCGACAACGGGAACCAAAGGCAAGTAATGTCAGGGTTCCCCCCCTCGCAAAAAGCCTGTCCCCCAGTGTTTGGTGGTAGTGAAAGGACCGTAAATCCCAATTTGGTGCCTCGGTATCTGCTCCGCGCTTACACTTTGTATTGAACTTTACACACTTGCTCCATTTCCATTCCCTGCTGTTTGTTTTTCTTCCGCTATGCAAAATGTCTGGAGACAAACACGATACACACGTTGCAGGGAGATGGGCTGATCTTTCACAGATTAGTGCCACCTGCCAAACACAGGATTATTTGTGAGCCGTGTCGCAGGAACCGCCGAAGAGCCCGGTGCCGCAGCACCCCGGCCACGCCGCGGGGTTACGGCACCGCTCCTGCCAG